ATGGCGCGGAAGGCTCGTAGCAGAGCAGCAGAGCGACGTTCGGCTCATTTAGGTAAGTAGGCAGGCCAACGCAGTTTGTCCCATCAGGCTGCAGCGCGCAGAGGAGACGAGCACTAGTTCAATGAAAATAATCGCTTGAACGTATCAAAGGAATTATACGCACAATGCTTTGAAGTAACTCACTTCCCAGACGTGTCCAATGGTACTTGGGTCATTCCACGACAAATCGATCAGAGGATAACGTGGCAGCCTTTTCAGATTTGACAAAAAGTGACGCGGGACAATTATACGGCTTAAACACGATTCTGCGAGTTTTCGAGCCGTGCGGCCAACCACTAAGGAACTAGGAGCAGATGGAAATGCGGGAATACGTCAGAATCTTTTTCACCTTGCTCGAGTGAAAACAGCTTGATGTGTATGTTTGGGAAAAGTGCATAGGAAAGCTTAGCACGCATATGTTTCGGAAACGTGAGTCATTGCAACAGCCAAGACCAGCGTGGTACATGTCGTGACTTAGTTTGAACTTTGTTTGGTCTTCCCTAAAAAAAATGGCAACTTGGATTTTCGTTCATTTTGCATGCGATCAAATGCCAATCGATTGCCGTTCAGACGTACGGAAAATCGATGGGACGTTTTCTAGAGCGGTCGCAAATCGAATTTGACCATCGACGAATCACGCACGGTGCACGCCATCGGCCGGCCGGCCGGTGTTGGGTGACCGGGCGCGATCGCCTTATTGCGTCGGGAGCTATGATCATGACCAGCCAATTATTTCAGTTTTTCACCAGTCACTTTCACATGCTTCAGGAGCTTTACAACGGTATCTGAATGAGGAGAGCATGCTTATCAACCTTACGTACCCGTCGTACATCACGAGCAGCGTGGATGGCAGCGCGTCGTGCGCTCCGCGTCGATCACCGTTGAATAAGGTTCAGCTGAAGCTTAACATGAAAAGAAGCAAACAGTTAGTCTGAAGTTGCATTAGTGCTGTCCGTTCTGGCCTTGAGCCGGAGCAAAGTCGCTGTGTGTGATGGGCCGGCACGCCTGCAGTCCCCACACACGTGTCATTCGATGTGGCACGCATCTAAAGCGACGCCGTCTCCGAGCAAACCAGGCCGGGGCCCACGAGAGGGTTAGTGAGTGTCGAGTCTCATTGCCGAAAGTTAGAGAAATGAATGACTGCAGGTTTGTTGCCCTCAGTAAGTGCTTGCATGGAATGCTCAATTAAAAGAATCGGTCCAAACTAATTTGTCAAAGTCGAATAACACTCAAAACTAGTCGAAGAACGCTCAACAAATGGTTTGTGCGGTTTGGAGATATCACGGCGAGGGCGGTGCAAACTATCTGTCATCATCACGAACAAGATCTGTCAACTTGTCCAGTTGTCACAAATATGCGGAATTTCCGTGTCGAACTGAAGACATTTGCGGAGCCGTTTGACCTGGCACAGTAAAACAAGCAGGAGTTGGTGCAAAATCACCGGCAGTTTTCTGGAGAACCCTCTCTTAATGGAGGGGTAACTAGCATATGGCTTGCAGGAAAAAGCACAATCATTGGCCAAAACGAATATTGATGCAACACCGTAACGAGTGGGTATGTCGGAGCCACAGAATCTATGGACACAAGCTTCGGAGCAACGGCAGGATTGATCTAGGTCAAGAACGCGCGAGACCGGATCGCGAGATCATGATCTCGCGATTCATGATTGATTCATGATCATGATTCTCGCGATCATGGCTTATCTGTCAGGCACATGCGCACGCACCATCTTTCTATGAATAATCTGTTATATGTTTTGCATTCTTTTTTTGCATATTCAGTATTTTCACCCCAACGTTTCATTTTCATTCGTGGGCGTGCTTATCATCAAGTGATGGCTGATGAAACCTGCAAAACGGAGCAATGCTTGGAACATAGGTTTAAAACGCACGGACGCTGAAATGAGCATGCAGCTACAGCCGCCATCTCCCCTTGAAAAATACGTATCAGTTGCAGTAACACCAATAAACATACCTGCTCGAACGTCCAAAGTAATCCCGCGCGGGATGAATGCGGCGCGAAACGCTGATTGTAATGAATCAGTTGTAGTAAAACCTACGGTGCAGAACAGACAACGATATGAACTGCTCGCTTTACGTTTTCGAATTCGCATCAACTGAAATCAACAAATGACCAGCGACATAACTTATTACAAACTACTATGAACGACGACTTTGGAACTGATTTTGTTTGAACTGCAGTATTTTTTCAGAAAATGAGGTCAAATGAGAAACTAGATCACGTGTAACCGGGGCTCCTCAAAGTTTATCTGCCAGCCCCGCTGTGACGTCACAGCGGGGCGCCTGGACAAGCCGCAGGATTGTAAGCCCATACGGAAGGGTCTTTTAAACGCCGCTTCCGGGCACATTGAGAAGGTACAGACCGCTGAAACGCTTTCAGCATTAGGCAAATGGCATGGTCTCTTGTGCGCCAGGTGCGCTTCTGAAGCTCAGCGTCCTAGCTTTGAATTGCATGTCATTTTACACAGGCGTTGCAACGCTATTGTAGGTGGCGCCACTGGTACCGACACCTGGTTTATAGATGACGCTAGTGTTATTCTTGGGCTTATGATACTCGGTTTTCCTAGATACTTAAATCTTGCTTCTCGAGGCCGTCTGCGCGTTGGAATGCAGGCTGTGCTTGCTGGGTTCGAAATATCTTAACACCTTGCATGCAAATGCCTTCCCTTTATTTTGTTCAGCCACTATGGCATGTTCTCGGCTCACTTGCCTGTCATTCTAGTTTGGACGTCACATGATGGTCGGTCACGGTATTGGTTACTTTCACGTGTGGGCCAACTGAGTTTGACGTTGAATTAAAAATTTGGCGGTCGTTTTGTCATGGTTGATGCGTTTTACACCCTCAAACTGGCTGGATATTGAACGCCTTACGATGACATGCGACATTTCGAATTCATCATCATGACTGCGTGATAAGGTTGGTCGAAGAATAATTCGTTCCCCCAAAACAATTCTGCCCACGTATGAGATGGATGTCATATGCAGAAAGATTACAACCCCGAGCAAACTAATAACTTCGGTGCATCTGTTGCGATGTACCGGATGTAAAGCACATGCAAAACGGAAATACGGCATAGATATACAACACGATACCAGATAATGATATGTTTACAAAATGCCGGAAGCGGAGGAAACAGCAATAATACCAAAAGAGCTGTAGCAGCAAGCTATCCGCGTCAAGACGCACAGAGATGCGCCGGAGCCTTCAGCGTCCAGGCCAACTAATAGTAGCACGATGTAGTCGGGAAGGCGTCACCCGCCTTTTAAGCATCAGAACCACGCGTCCCAGAAACGCGCTCAACAGCTTCAGGAAGAGTGCCCGGAGGAGGAGCCTGATCAGCCTAGTTATTTGGAACCATTTGAGCCTAGTTATCTGGCCTTACCACCCGCACTTGAAATTGGCGCTTACCAATATTTTTGGCGCCTCTACCAGTGAGTCGGGTACGCCATTCACAGGTCCGAACGCCAATTCAGAGTTCAGCCGCCGCGCTGACCCGCTGTTTTCCACAACAGAAACTAGTAGGGAGAGGGAGGGGGGGTCGACGCATCCCACCATGAAAGCTATGCAGACGTTTGAAGCGTTTCACTCTGAGCATACGGCATCTAGTTTTGTGTGTTTTGAACATATATCTATAATGTAAGGCCCCCACTAATGTAACAGGTGAGGTCACCGCCGCCACGGACGGCTGCCTTGTCGGTTGCTGCCCGCCGCACGCCCCAGTCGAAGATCGCCTACAAAGATCGCTTTTCAGAAGTCAGATGCTATGGACACATTTTTGTGTCCAAACACGAGCGACACAGCCCCAGATGACACAGGAACTTGGGCACGATGGCACAATATGCGGGAAAGATGTCCTAAAAAACCTTTCAGGACGGGAAGGGCGCCTCGACGGTGTTCTCCGCCCCATCGATCCTCTGTTTACGGGGGAGGGGAAGGGGGGGGGGGGGGGCGCTGACGCCGCCACTGGGTTTCCTTTTGCGTTTTTCACGTCGGGCTTGCGCGCAGGGCCCTTCCCGAGAAGGCGAAGTCGAAACTTTAAATCGTGTTCAGAACCCACATGCAAAAAAATGTTTCGAAGAAACCTGGCTCTTAAAATTCTGAACAGGCGCTTCATGCTGGCAGGCACGAAATCATGCCGCACTGCGCGCCTTGTCCTGATTTCATTGAGAAATAGTACTGGGGCGGTGTCCGCCCATTCTTGCTTCACGGTGCACCGCGATACGATTCTGCGCAGGAAATCTTGAGTGATGTTGAAAAGCGAAAACTAGTACATTTAGGCTTAAACTTTATTCCGCAAACTTATGCCGCGCTATAAATTTGTGGACTCATGCCCATAACAATGACGACAGCAACAACAATGGATTTGGAAGAGGTATTAAATTCAGCACTACTGAAATGTTTAGCTTATGGCAGAAATATCTGCTCAATTGCTTCGGCTTACCTTGGTTATTTATTCAAATAACGAGTCAATCAAGATCTTACAGCACACCCTAAGTTCTTGGGTTGTGTTACACCGATTTCTTCATAGGAGGCCGCATTATTGAGGAAAACTGCATTGGCCGGCAATCTAGCCGGTAAAACGCCGTATCCAGTAGGAAATCTAGTACCCCGCGAGTACGTCATTGGTTGCCAGGTTCAGATAACCTGTACATCCAGTAACCATGACGCGTACCTAGTTGACACTGATTGCAATATTGACCAATGTTTCAGGAGTGTAGTTTTCCGGTGCACTTTTCCTACACGATATCCCGCGAGCCGCTTTTGCTAGAGCAAGATGAAAAGTAATTCCATGGCTCAATCGCGTATTTTCATTTGCTCTTAGTTCCTCATCGGTACGCCGTGCGGCTCTAGAACTTCCAGAAAGGTGTTTGGACCGTACAAGCACCCCAGCACCCTACCCTCTTCACATTTGAAGGGGATTACGTGTTAAAATGCACCTGTCGGCGATCAATTTGTATTGGAATGACCCGCTAGCGCTGTATGGTCCTCAGAGCTCTTAACAGTTCCGTAACATTCATCTCCCACGCCATTGCAAACAATACGTGTGCAGATTCGGATGAAAGCAATCTCAACGTGCATGCTCAGGGTCGCCCCGCGATATCCTTGTGAATGAGAAGTGCAGCGCAAACTAACGGTCCAATTTCTGATGTGAAAGGGAACAGCCGTGCAGGTCCGCGGACCTTGTCGGACATGTGCCCCTTGACCCTTCACGTCGACAAACCTGACTATCTCTCCCTGTGAACAGCCCTCTCCCACACTTTTCTCGATGACTAATCGTCAACGTATGACTCAACACCAGGCATCCACCTCACGCCGCTGGCTTTTCCCTATATTCGTCCCGGCAACCAAAATAAAACAGGCACGAGCTACCCACAACAGACGGCCACAACCAACACGCAGTCAGCTCCCGGCCGCCTCTGCGCCTGACCCCTGCGGCGTCACCGCCGCTCCCCGTCACCGGGGCGGCGCGGGTGCGGCGGCTGTCGGGGCGGCGCCAGGGGAGTCCGCGCTGCCGCCGAGCTCGGTCACGTGGCGTCCGCCGCCGCCACATCCCGGACGGATGGCCACCGGCCGTGACGACCCGCCGTCGGCGCGGGACCAGTGCCGCCGGAAACCCCGTCACCGGGGAGCCGCCGACGGCCACCCCCCGCCCGAAACGACGGAGGACGCACAGGTGCGTGCCCGTTCACGGCGAGCGGTCACGCGTCAACTGCGCTCCGACCTTGCCCCCCCCCCCCCCCTATCGCCGCTGCCTCAGAGTAGGAACGGCAGGATGGCGCGGCGGCGGCGCGGGTAGTTGGCGAACTCGCTCCGGTAGTTGCGGTGCTTGGCCAGCGCCCACACCGTCATCTGGTACATGCCGGCGGCCGTGAACAGGCCGGCTGGCAGGCACTGCGTCAGCAGCGAGAAGCCCAGCCAGCTGAGGAACTCGTACGTGTAGTTGGGGCAGGAGACGGTGGCGAAGAGCGCTGTCAGCGGGTTGGCAGTGGGGTGCGGCACGCGCCGCTCGCGACTGCCTGCCGGGCGCAGCTGGCGCAGCGCCCAGTGAACGCTGAAGTTGCCCAGCTCGCCCACCTGCCGGTGGAGGGCGGGTTACGACGGATATGCGCGCGCCTCCGTCACGTCAAACCACTTGTCGGGCAGGCCGGCGCACCCGAGAGGGAGACGGGATCGGAAGACGGGCCGACGAACAGGTCCGTCGAGTCAAATGCACATGGATGAATGAAGGGAGCGATGAAAGACGGTGGTTGGGAAGGTGGAGATCGCTGAGGCGACATCATTGGTAAGATATAACGGAGAGCAGTGAGATGATCACAGCGACTGGAGTAGTCAGGACAAAAAACACAAAACAGGGGCAACAGTCGATTCCTTTTCAATGTCGAGAAGCCTGACCGCTTTAGTGAACCGCAGTGACTGTTATTTGCCCTTGCGGACGCTATGGAGATTGGGCGCGGGAAAATTATAAGCACACAATTAAGCTGCACCACTCGAAAGGCCTGCGTAATTGTATAACAAAAAGCAAGCGGTGTCTTACTTCATGTACCATCCAACTACGACACGTACATCAGAAACACCGTCGAGGGGGCAAAACCAATCAGTACAAGACGCATCGAGGCTTCCCACGCATGCTTTCCATAGGAGTGAGATGTTCCACAGACTGATGCGAAGAGGGCAAGCGCTCCAGCCTGCCTGAGGCAGTGGGAGTTGTTTCTGGGGAAAATTGTGGGCGACGGCCGGCCAGTCGTCCAAATAAAAGTTGCAAGATCAACTACGAGGAAGAGCTCTGGTAAGTCGGTGACGATACCCCGGCTCATGACCTACAAGAAGTCAACGTCAGCACCTTGTTCATGAAACTGGATTTGGCCCAACGGCTGTTCCCATAATTGTGGTGACATTGGACATGCTTCATGACAAACGTATATTGTCCATGGCGCGGCATCTCCGTTGGGACTTCTCCGACCGATTTCAGATCTGCTTACCTGGCCGGAAGCTCATGCAAGCGACCAGGACTAAGAACCTTTAATACCCACGAGGGCCCAGACCCAAACTCAGCGACCGGGCCCGCACATCGGCTAGTTCTCGTCGCCGCGCGAAGCAGAATCCTGCGCATATTACTCCCCGATCTGCCTATCATGCCTCCTCCCGCCCTCTCGACCCACGTGGAAAGGGAGGGGGAGATAGCCAACTGCGCATTCGTACTCAGAAGGCGAGAAAGCCACCGCAGGCATCCTGTCTCTCTTTCTCTCTCGACCTCTCTCTGGAAGCGTCTATCAACAACGGAAGATCACCCCCACCACCATTGCATTCCCATTACATCAACCCCGCCCCAACTGCATCCCCACAAACGGCTGCTCACACCACAGTACACTTCTTCGCCATGTCCACCGGCGGTGGACAGCGTCGTCTGGAGCCCCGCCGCCTTCTGTTAGTTGCAGTCTCGTAGACAACAGATGAGACAGCGTGCGATTTTTCGCTCGGCAGCCATCAGCGGGAGGGCACGCGGGAGGAGAGAAGCGAAAGGGAATCGACGCCCCCGCGTACAAAGCAGTGTTGGGGCTGTGCTGACGCCTGTGACTCCGCGTCGGCTTCCCCACGTGTGGACACCAGACGGTGTGTGCCGCGCGGAGTGTGGACGTCTCTCAGCTGCGGCGATGACCATAAGGTAGTGTCTCTTTATCACTGCAGGAGTGCTCTAACCGCTCCGTTCACATATCGTTCGAGGGGTGTTAATACGTAGGCGGGTGCTTAGGGTGCTTCCAGGTAAGTTGTGGATGAAAGATCACCGAACGGGCGTGTTTTGTAAAAGTCCAGTGAGACTGCGAGACGGTACATGGCTGACTGAGCATGGAGGTCTGTCGTTTCTTCTTGATCCGGAACGATACGGTAATCTGCTGGAAATGTCCGCGATTGGCCATGTTTTATGCATACTGGCATGCCAGTATACCACATGTCTGTCCTTTGAAAGTTCCATGGGCGAGCTGGATTATCACAAGGTGACTAGCCGTAGTCTGGGCTCCAAAGTAGTTGCATCACCATTTGAACTCTAAGCAACGCTTACTTGAGCGGTAATGGTTCGACGCTAATGTTTTTATCTCGACGCGTACTTTGATTTCAGAGGCAGGTGAAATTCACCTCGCATGAAAACACCAGTAAAGGCATTGCAGAACAGTTAATGCATGTGAGGCGCCAGTCATAGTTCTTTATCTTCAACCGCCCCCACGGCGACGGCATCTGTGACTCAGTTACAGTGTGGGAAAAACCTCCGTTTTCTGGTGGATGTGGCACCAGGAAATTTTGTACTCCAAGCTCTTGGCTGGTAAGAATGACAATTTGTGTACTCCAGACAAACGCTGCAGTCGCCCCACAAAGCAGACACCATTGCAAATGTATGAGCCTGAGCATAAGTACCAAGGCAGACAGTTTTGCTTTCTTGATAGCCAGGAGGGTGCATGAACTTTGCTTTCATAAAGTGAGTTATAACTTTTATTTGATGTCCAGGGACCAAACATATGGAGCACCAAGAAATGGAAACAAGCATCTGCAATCCTGCAGGAGCTGGCCAATCCAGGGCGTTCATGTCAATGTCCTTCATCATTGTATTACATGGGTTAGACGCACTTGTACAAGCCTATGCAACTCCTGAAGGGTGATGACAACTCATGTGAGTTACTTCTGTGGAAATGAAATAAACTGAAATATGAAATGTGCTTGTTGTAAGTACCTACCGCTGCCACATACCTTACATGTCATACCATTACCTGTGGGGAAAATATATGGTGCACCTGGGTAAGAAAGACCGCATTCTCCACGACGCTCACACCTACCGATACCTTTTCAAGAAACGGACAAGCATATCACGGCTCTGGCTCCCACCACGCGACGAACCCATCGCCTCCCGTACCCGAAACCAACGGCAGCCCAGCCCCCTGCAACTGACGAGTGCATTTTCGAGCAGTGGAGGTCCGCGTCGCAACAGACACCTACAACAATATTCGTTCGACCAGAAAACCACTAGCAGCACCAAAATCACCAATGGCACATCTATTTCAACTAGATCATTCAAAGACTCGCAGAGCAAGAAGTCCAGGATGCCAACTATGCTCTAAACTTACCTCATATTAAGAAAACATGTTAGCGATTTTACCACAGGACGTGCATCTTGCAAACGGTTTGGCAGGAAAATTCCAAAATATTGCAGCATTGCACATCCTTTTCAAAGCGCTTGTTTTATTCCTGCTCCTGCCATACCAGCCACCAATCACCATCCAACTTGCAATTAAACTGAAAATCATGGCATTCAAACACACCACATATCGGCACTTTTAAGATAGAATCATGACGTTAAATGACATCCAAATATCACGCTTGTGGGCGACACTTTTGGTGGTAACGGCTTCTTTTGGGTTCTTAAATGTCATCGGAAATTACGTTCCCAAAATGGGAGTTTGTGGCATACAGCATTCCAAAACTTATTACTATTGTATAAATGATAGTACGCTAACCACTTTTTCGGGAATCGGTAAATGCCGGTCTTTGAAGATTCGAGGATATCTTACTTATTTAACAACGGTATCACGTCTCCAAGCTCAACCAGTACCTATACTTGTGAGATAGAGATGGTCCATAACCCGGTGGGAAAAAATCGCAGTACTTGATTGCCCTCCTCACAATGGGGCCTATGGAGAGACCCGGGGAGAACAAGCCGGAGTACAAGCCGGAGAACAGCAAGTTTTTAGCAAAGTTAGCCAAATTTAATTGAAAAATTTACGTGTTTTGGTATCGCCCAGACACAAGCCTTCCTCAGAGGGTGTTGAAATGACATGATATGGCTCAGAATGAGAAAAATCCGTCGATTTGTAGTATAGGTACTGCATTATCTCGGCGTTGTCTTGCGCCACCAGAAGATAAGATATATTTGTAGGTGGAAAATAACAACTTGAAATGCATGGCTGTAAAGCTCTATGATTTTCCTAGCACAAACTTAACAATTTGTGTTGGTGCAACTGCATAAATGGTTTTTCTTAGACTATTCATCACAGTCTGTCATTTCAGGACCGACCCGTGGTACTTGTACTTGGTTGGCCCATTGACGAGTGATAGAATGCCATCACGTCTGTGAATGCGCCAGAACTCCTGTGGGTGGTTTGGTTGTTTGTCTTGATGTGGTGGGAGTGAGGGGGCCGGAGGGTGCGTGAAGCTGCTTGGGATTATGTGCATCGTAGTTGCGAGTTTGAGGTATTCAGTAGGGCAAAGTGGAATTGGTTGTCTTCAATTTTCACACAACATGCATCCACACTTCTAAAGTTACTTGGGATTTAGTTGTGGACCGCCATTAAGTCATTCCAAAAAAGGTAAATAAATACCGGGGGACTGATCTATAAATGTTTACCACTGCAGGCCGGTGCAGAATCACCTTGTTATAACCCGCTCTACCTACAGCATGGTGGGTAGGTACGTAGGTGCTAAGGTATCTATATACAACATTAATGCTAGGCTTGGATTCCCCATGTGGGATCAAATATGAGGCTGGCCTCTTTTCAGCCTGTGGTTATAATTGCTGTAATGTGACAGGTGGCAATGCTGCCATGTTCCTTGCTGTCAGGCATAAGGTCCTGCAGTGACACTATCAAAATTTTCCCTGCATAGGATCATAGGGGAGTTGGAAAAGAGGAGAGGGATAACAGGAGATGCAGGAAGAGAGGAGGAGCAGAAGTGGAGGAGGAGTGGAAGGAGAAGAGTGACAGAAAGAGAAGGTGAGGAACTGAAAGAGGAGAAGAGCAGAAAGAGAAGGATAGGAATAGGAACACTTTTGGTATGTATATATTAACTATGTAAAGGCCAAAAGGACTACATGTTAGTAATGTCACATACATAAGGCTTTCATAGTCAGTTGCATCTGCCTAAGACTCATTAAAAAACCTGGGTGTGATACACAGTGGTTGTCAACAATTCAGTTTGTCAGTAAAAAGAGGATGCACCTGATTTATCACTTTTATATTGTGTAAGTTTGCATGTAGATAGGTAATGATATGTAACTGAGCTTTGTATGATGCACCTGTGAATGCATATGCATAAAGTTTTGTTGTTAACCTCTTTATCTGTGTATTTCTTATTAACATGTACCATTAATCAATCTTTGCATGTATAGGTGAGCTAGTAGCACTGCAGGGATACAGTTGAGATCAGTGTGGCGCCCTCACTCACAAGAAGTGCTCTGCTCCACTTAAATGCAAAATTGCATGCTGACACTAATTTTTGCCAGAACAACATTGGGAAAATGTTGACCCATTACAGGCAGTATGTAATGTACTCCAAGCAAGGCCCATTGTGCAGACACTCATTCCACATTAGACGGACCTTTGCTTGCAGGCAAGTTTGTACTCCGACCACATAAATTTTTGTACTCCGCCACCAGCAAAAACGAACTAAATTTCCCACCCTGCTCAGTTGTGCTGTCGTGTTGTAGGTGGCGACACCTTCACATCCGCCGGAATCGCCCACGAATCAGCAAGCGTCGATCCAGTGTTACCAAGCCACAACCTCGGCAACGTGCCAGCCTGGGCAGCCGACAGCAGCACTCGCCCTCACCGTCCTGAACAAGTTAGAGCTGAGGCGACCGCCTGGGTTCTCTACAGTCACAGTCACAACAACCGTGTCGGCCGAAGTCGGCCACGGGGCAGTGTTCGCCGAGACCATGACAGGTTGGGCCAGGTCAGAGTCGTACTCACAACGAACATGACGAGTCCGGCGATGAACAAGGGTCTCGGCGGCGGCGTGTACAGCGGGTGGTTGACGTGGTAAGCCACGTACAGCGTAAAGCCCCAGTAGTACGTGCAGTTCTTGAAGAGGTTCGACAGCGGCATGGTGGCGTGTGAGAAGCGATGCACAAACAGCGTCTCCAGCAGCCGCTTGGCGTAGTGGAACGTCCAGCAGCCGCAAGCCACCCTACAATGGATATAGCGCAGGCATTGGGCAGTTGTACCACTGCATACAGCACGCATCCAGACAACACCAATATTTCACACTGTAATATTCCCTGCCAGGCATCAGTGCGCGGTGTAACACCATCCGACACAAGTCCAGAAATAACAGCACTGGGATGATGCACCTACTTTTTCGACTTAAGGCAAAAACTAACAAAATACACAGTTGGATCAAAGGACAATGTAGGGGTGATCAAACAAACACGCGAATGTATCCGGAAGGATATTATCAAGCATCGACACATCAATAAATGTTTCAATTTAAAACGTTCTGAGCCGTCCTTCGATAACATTGACACTGCAGCTGAATGATTGGTGGTTATCATCGTCGTCGTCACTGGGACTTTACGACGCACTCGGCTGCTGAGGCTATAGAGCGTCGCCCGTCTCTCACCCTGGCAGAAAGGGCGGCCACCGCGGGGAATTGAACCCTGTATGTTTACTTTCAGAGACGCGCAGTGGTTAAGACAGACGCGTTAACCACTGTAATATCGGCACCCTGAATGCTCCATGTTTTTCAACTACAACTCCTTCGCCGATGCGCATTAAGGACGTGGCATTAAGCATGTCTTTGCGTTCCAAGAGACGGTCAGGAACAACCGCCGATCACTATGCACCCGTCCTTCCTCTCCGGCCACCCCGGTGCCCGCCCACTGACCTGGCCACCTCCGAGACGGGCTGTGCGGCGGCGGCGGCGGCGTCATACAGCGGCCACGGCCGGCTGAACGCCCACAGGTACAGCACCAGGGGGCCCGCGTACTCGCACAGGAACACGGTGACCCAGCCGATCTGCGGTCCGAGGTCCTTCAGGTACAGCCGCGTGCCCGCGTGCAGGCCCAGCGAGGCTAGCGTGTCCGTGTCCGCATACCCTGCGCGAGCGGACACACACACACACACACATGGACGGCAGGCTAGGTGAACGCTTCGCCGTGAGCGCAGGAAATGACTGAATTATTTCTCAGACAACTACGGGGCAACGTTGCGAAATATTTCGTCCGAGCAACAGTTGGTGCCGCCCGTCCGCCGCGCAGGCACAAACAACGAGCATACACACGTATGAACAGCAATGCGCGGCGAGCTGAAAATTACGTAAAACAACGCTGTCAACATACTTATGACCACCAAAACATCCAACTGTGACGTCTTACCAACAAAACAGACAAACTGGTATTCGGCATACCTTTGCCTTTCTGTTTCGGGCGCAGATCGACCCTGCCGGGGTACAAGTTCTTACGCTCCTTGCACACGAGTTTCTTGAGCTCAAGCACCGACGTCGATGGGGCGACCTGTGCCGCATAAAACACGACGCGCGTGAGACACCGCTCGTCATCGCTTCGCTCCCACCCGCCATTGGTCGGAAGGCGGCAGGCTTCCGCGCACCAGGCCAGCGCTGAGCCAACGCTCGCGGGGAGGGCAACAGACATGTGTGCGACTCGATTCTTTGTAGTCAGCTCAGGACCCGCTCCCACACTTTGGTATCGGATTCGGCTGATGACTCATAGCCGTTCTAAACTTGTTAATTCAGCCCAGTTCATACTCAACGCTTGCGTCGAACCATTTGGGTCATGGTTCATGCGGCCTCCAAACCAGAGATCCGATTCAATTCCGGCCCGTTGCCTAATAACTCGGGAGCCATGTGATTCATCCATATATATATATATATATATATATATATATATATATATATATATATATATTATAGCATGGAAAATAGGTACAACTCACGTAAAAACACGTTTGTAGTTTGAACTTAGCAAATACAGGGCAGTAAATAGTACCTTTTCTAAAACATATTACCAACCAATTCTCTCCAGTCTCAGCTCTAGGCTACCACCCTCTACCTCGTACAAATGACCCAGACCCATCAGTGTGCAGAATAGACTGCGCTTAGCCTGACAGTTGGCAGTCTGTACCAGCCAAGTGCCAGCTAATTACATTCACACGTAGCTTACCACATTTCCACTCGCCAGAACTACCCAACCCGTTAGCGATGGCTATCCAACCCAGAACTACCCATGCCACTGTCCGCAATTCACCATGGGACTGCAATAGCCATTACCTGGCACTAAGCTACAAACATTACGAACTTACCCTACGTAACTAATAACTATTACGAATAACGATTGCATTTCTCAAAAACAAGCTCAGCAAAACCCACTTCAATCGAGCCTCATCTATTGATCAGAAAGGAACTGAACTGAACAAGGAACAACTGAAGTAGAGAAAGGCTACCCTAGGCGCCGACCGTCGTTTAATATAGGACACATAAGGCTCATCTCATCGGGTTTCTCTGTAATGAGTTGAGAGCCCAAACGGGTTTCCGCGCTGGGTAGAGATTAGAGCATTGTGTGCCGCTTTAAACGCATTCAAAGACTTCATTGAATTTGGAGCCCACATTCTCGTTTGCAACCTGCGTGTAGCAAATTCCAATCCCTTTTCATCCCATGTTGCGCAGCCCGCATTTGTCCCGCCATCGCAAGTCTGCCGACAACCGCCTGTCCAAGGGCAATAATAGAACACTGGGAACACGAAAGTTTTGTCTGGTAGATATTAAAACATACCGTAAGTATACCAGAATTGGGATTAACACGCGTTCGGGTGGCCGGCTAGATACCCTTCGCTCGGGTATTTGATCAATTCAAAAAAAATCACAACACGCGCTGGGGGGGGGGATCAATTTGACCCCCACCCTGAGATCTCGGGAACTAAGAAAGCTAGACACCAAATTTACAGGGTGTCTTGACCTGTACGTGATCCCACTTGGGTCAAAGTTTCAGACGCCTAGGTCATAGGCCATTGGGTCAAAAAAGGTCAAACAGGGTCAAGTTCCAGGTTGGTCTCCAACGTGCCCCCAGAACCTAGATAACCGTTTCTAAGCAAAAGATCACATTCTCATTCAAGGTAAGCGACCTTGTTTGAGCTTTTGAAAGTCAAGGTAGCCATTGCTTTGAGTTTTGCATTTGACTAAGCGACAAAGATTACGCTAGGCAGTATGTTCCTAAAAAAAAATATTGACATGGGTCATTTTGGGTCAATGACAGACTCTGACCCCTAAGAAGTCCATGGAAGATGCATAATGCGGTTCCCACTATCAATAAACTCGGAATGAGCACCAGAAACTATCCCATACAGCAAGCCCTAGAGTAACAAAACGGTCTGGTTTTGACCTTGGTGTGATCTTCATACCTGACCTCAGGTCAATTTAATTCGCTCATTCAACTGTTGTGTCGTCTAAGAAAGCACCTCATAGATGTATGGCGTCGTCTAACACTCCGTTGTTGGATCAGATTGAAGGATTCCCCAGAAATTTCCTTCGCTGAAACCATGGCCTGTCTTTGACCTGCCATAGGTCAGCGACCTTACTAGGTACATCTGAATTTTTGATGCCAAAGCGATCCGCTATTCAATTGTCTATAGCTATGCAAAATTTGGCGCCCCTACGCCGCGCCGTTCGGAAACCATTCTGGAAAAATCTTCGGGGGGGGGGGGCAATTTGGCCCCCACCCCACCCGAGCGCGTATTAAGACCAGATCTGGGATGTTGTACAAAAAGTTATTTACCCATTTCGAAGCTGAAAATACTTATTGATGCAATCCCCGGAGGTCGCATTCCGCGACATGCAATCCGCGTTGAGACGAAACGATTTTGCTGCTATTGCCTTTCGTATAGCCTCAGCAATAGCATGCTGACGGCGGTTCAAGTGGTGCATGAGGGGTTAGGTATAGATTAGTTCATCATTTTGACTATTGGCATTGCCAAATGTGAACAGTAATTGGATTTCATACGAAGTGGACAATCTTTCACTAAAGTTGACATACACTATCGGAATGCAGGACATCGGCACCATGTAATATCCTCTAGTTCCGGGCTGGACACTGGAAAACTTCACATCAGCATCACTTGTATTGCGCTTGCTGCTTAGAAGTTATAATAAAAAAGTTCGTGCTGATTTTGCAGTTTCGTAACTAATGATGCATTCTGCTCTGTTCACCACTCTGAAATGGTCTGTTGATTTGTCCGGGGTGTGCTGTGTTTCCTCATGTTCCCATTTCAATTTGAGCCATGTGGCTCAGCGACACATTGTTAGAAATGATCGGGTCACGATTCCGGTGATGAAAGTTAGGTAAGTTGTTCAGTGCATTAGCGAGGAACATCATTCACATAGATAAGAGAGGAGTAACAGCCTTGTCCCTCGGAGAAAAACCAGGAGGATAGAGATATATACGGGTTGATATTTCGGTAGCATGCCTTCAACGAAACGAATAGCAGAAGCAATAGCACTTCTGCTATTCGCTTCGATAAAGGCATGTTGCCGAAATATCAACGCATCTATATCTCCATTTCCCTGGTTTTTCCCCCATGAACAAGGCTATCACTACTCTCCCATCATGAAATCTATGAAGAATGTGACTCAACTTGGCTCGAAGTGCCGTTTTCCTAACGAGCCGACTCAGCCCCGCGGCATGCCCCAAAACGATTGGCTCGTGAACCAGTTCACGATCCAGCTCGAGTCGAATCCCACTCCATCCAAGTCAACAGAAGGCTTCCGTCCCGAGGGGTGTTCTTGTCAACATAAAAAACGACGACCACCCGTGCCCCTGACATGGGATTCGATGCATATGCTGCTACAAATGACACATCATCGTCCATCGGAAAACATACCTACTCATGATCGCGTAATTTAAGATCATTCCACGATATCATGTCGTTTCGGATATCCGGCACTTTCCGTTCTGTCCGAAGGAATGTGATCCAAGCTCGTACACAGACGACAAGTTTTGCATCTGACGAAAACCTGCAAACAGCGTTGGGTCATTGATGGCGACTTGGTTTCAGTTACTTACTACTCAGTTACCCATTATTACCAGCTACGGTCATTGACGTATGAAGACATAGCAGCTCTCCTACGGGCCCGACACCACGAAGCCTTCATCTTACTCAGCTGGGATCGCCTGGCTGACCATCTCCACAGATGGACGTCACGTGCCCGGACCACCGGCGTCGTTAGCGCCGGCCACTGCGCGCGACCTTTGTCTGGGCTGCCGGAGCCGTGTTTACGGTGCCCTCCTAAGAGCGAGGTGCGTACAGCCAGGCCAGTCCCGGCCCAGCCGGAAACGCGGCCACCAGTCCACCGCTGCCGCTGTGGTAAGTCAGACCGGGGTGGCGACGGACCGACACGGCATGGCCTACGGAACCTGAGCCTGCACGGCCAGCCTCGCCAGTCTGCTGCTTTACGCCAATTACGATCCCGAGACTGTGAGTTCGGGGTTACTTACACCAATGTTAGCGGCTGAGGCCCATCCGAGGACTGTCAAACACCTGACGGCGGCGGAGAAATAACCTGACCGAAATGTTGAGGTAGCACCACTGATGTTGACACAAGTCCGAGAAATGATTCTTATCGGGCTAACCCCTTGTTTTAAACACTCAATGCGACAAAAAAAAAGATATTTGTGGTAAATATTCCTATCCAGACCCGCACTGATGACGTACGTAGTACAACGGTAGACGGGGACAAAGTTTGTTCTTGAAAAACGTGTGCACCGTTTACGCCAATATATACATATATATATATATATATATATATATATATATATATATATACATATATATATATATATATATACATATATATATATATATATGCATATATATATATATATATATATATATATGTATATCAAATCTGATGGCACCATTCTAGTGGAAATTTCCGGTGCCACGGCAAGGCGTTTTTCGACAGATGCTGTCGTTATGACGCGTGAATGTACTATACATTGAAAAGCTCTTCAGTCCAAACGGAACGAGATGACGAGATTTTCCGGTCCCGTGGCAAACACCGACGCTGCGTCCCCCGAAGGTGGAGCACGAGAACGAAGTCCTCTTGAAAGAAAGACCACGCCTACGAGCCCAATGCCACGGGTGCTGCTTGGCACAGCCTTAGTCACACAGTATGTCAATTACTCCCCAGCTGCTGTCATTTACAGAACAACGGTCCGTCCAGGAGAGGCCTGCTACAGCTAGGCTTGAATCACGAACCAAGGACCTCCCACCTTCATTGGCAACTTCAGCTATCAGCCGCTTCATATACACAGCTTTGTGGCGTTGAGGCGGTTGGCGGCGTCACTATTTCCGGTTTTCCGTAGCTTCGAGGTGTTGACATTCTCACTTGGCGGGGCTTAAAGATATTGCAATGTTGTCGTTGTATTTTTGGCTCTTCCCTCACAACCACACGGAAAAACGCAACCAGAAATGCCGTCGAACCCTGTGAGGGGCGCAAGACTTCTGACTGGTGCACTAGAGTACGGCTGACCAGCACCGGAGGCCGGCCCGGGCAGGGGGGGTCAGGGCAAAAGCCGCCAAACCCGTGCTGCGCCACGGCGTGAGCTTCACGCAACGCGCGGTCAGCAGGCAGCCTTCTTAACAGCCTTCAGCAGGCATCCAAAACTTAACAGGATGCATGCACTGACCTGTAAGGCGACGCAATATGCGGAGTTTCGTGCAAGACGACAATGTGTAACGCACATAGCAGCATGCAGCCATTTGACGTTGCTCACGAGCTTTCCCACGAGAAATACCTACGGTTAGGATAAAAGGTTTTGGCACGACATGTGACTAGCATTTACATGCTCAATTTGCTACCAGGGATGAATCAATATCAATGCATTCACTTAATGACTAATGCTCTTAATTCAATTTATTGCACTCCTTGCCGCCTTTCTTAATTGAATGATAGCTTTCACCCTCTCGAACCTGGGTAATGAGTAGTCTACCGCTAGGACCCTTCAAACACGCTCCTCTTAGAGGGTACTTGGCTCGGGTCACCGCCGGCTACCGCACAGGCGGAGATCTGGAGACAGCTCGACCGGTTTTCTTTGGTGCACCTCGTGCTGCGGGCATCGAATCCGCCAGAATGTGGCCAGAGTGGGCAGACCGAGCCCCAGTCGCCGCCCAGTGCCGCGCCGCGAACGGACATCTGACGGCCGGCAGACTGTACCGCAGCCAGCCTGCCGTTGCAGCCGCTCTTTAAGGGTGTCCTACATTCAAAAATACTGAAGATATGACGAAATAAGCTCACACACACACGCACGCACGCACGCACGCACGCACGCACGCACGCACACACACACACACACGCACACACACACACACACGCACACACACACACACACACACACACACACACACACACACACACACACACACACACACACACATATATATATATATATATATATATATATATATATATATATATATATATATATATATATACATATATTGGTATACTTTAGAATGAAAAGGTTCCTCTAGACGGCACAATTTCTCTACTTAGCAAATATTCCCTGAATAAGTCATTGTCTGATTGTCACCGCAGCTTGCACACCAATGATTGAGAGCCAATGGACTGTCGTGATATCTGGTAATTGGCTCATGAACGCCAAATATGAATGACTCGAAAATCACATCTTTATACCTTGGTCGCCGCATGGCAAATGTAATGACATGATTTACGTAAAGTAATTACTGACGTCATGGATGCCTGAGTGACCTTGAAACAGTTAACCCGAAATAGTCTGGGCATCTTCGCGGGCATGTAGTTCAGAAACTAGAGAGGTTTAGATCTTAAGGACGGGGCTGTAATGCGCACCGAACGATCTTCACGATGGTTATTTCAGTTCAAAACCCCAAACAAATGTGGAACACTCCGTTCAAGCGGGAGGCCTGGAATGCCAGACTCTGTATCGCAGTCAGCATGACCAGGCACTTCCGTGCCAGAGTCTGGATGACCTCTGATTCTGTATGTTTAGAAGTCATGACATTGACTATACTGGACCGAACAATGGTTGGTGACTTGGTGACAGGTCCCGGAGCATACACATTCACTGCCATACTAAGCCGTGATTCGTGACTTGGTGACCGGTCCCGGAACAGACACATTCACTGCTATACTAAGCCGTGGTTCGTGACTTGGTGACCGGTCCCGGAACAGACACATTCACTACCATACTAAGCCGTGGTTCGTGACTTGGTGACCGGTCCCGGAACAGATACATTCACTACCATACTAAGCCGTGGTTCGTGACTTGGTGACCGGTCCCGGAACAGACACATTCACTACCATACTAAGCCGTGGTTCGCGACTTGGTGGCCGGTCCCGGAACAAATACATTCACTGCCATACTAAGCCGTGGTTCGTGGCTTGGTGACCAGGTCCCGGAACAGACACATTCATTGCTATACTAAGCCGTGGTTCGTGACTTGGTGACCGGTCCCGGAACAGACACTTTCACTACCATACTAAGCCGTGGTTCGTGACTTGGTGACCGATCCCGGAACCAACACCGTCAGTACTATCTGTAGAAGTCGCCATAGTCAACAAAGTTCCCCAGTCAGTGCATCACTATATGCACCCAAGGCGTGTATGTTTCCAACCATTCCCAGCGATAGACCGAGCGTGCCAACATATCTCAGTCTACACATCCTCACATGTCCATGAAATGACTAAGTACACTTACATTCAGCATGGCTAAATTTTTCCCAGACCCGGCATGAAGTACCTCCACCTGGAAAATGTGATTATTCTGTCAGTCACAAAACACACTGTGGTTTCCATTTGTTTGCATCAAAGTGGAAAAGCATGAATAATACAATGTTGTCATGCCCTTCTCCTTAACACCATAGTCCTCATTGGCACATGGATAATGCAAAACCAACTCTTTGGTGCACCTCATGAACTGCCCAGCACATTGTGACAAAATTTGCAGCAAACATATCTAACCCATGATGTGCATGTTTGAACATCCCACTGTGCCACTAAAACTTGATATCAGAGATGTTGGAGGGGCAAATATGCAAAATAGGAGACTGAGACATATTTTTAGAGCTATTGTTACAAAAACTTATCCCTTGGTGATTCCCAATTAGTGCATGAATCATCACCACCCATGCCCTGTGTGACATGATTTGGGGGCACGGTCCCCTTTGGCCAAATATGGTCAATTATGTTAAATCAGCCAAAGCGTACCCTATGGATGTCACAAACATGAGCCTAAGGGTCCGAATTGTGTCAACAGTGGTATAAATGTCATTTAGGGTCATGGACACATCATATTAAGTCTTCATAGTCATTCAAAGAAATATTAGCAGTTCTTTTCATGCTTGCCTTTCATCTCCATTATTGCATAAAGAGTATGTATGGGGTCCACCAATAGCAAATGTACTACATGCTGTGGAATGACCTTATATGGCATCAAAGTTCCTCTCAGAAACAAATGATGAAATCTTTTGACTTACAGTAGCCTCACTCCTTACAGAAATATGAATCTACCTTGACAGCAAAAACATGCTTTCACCTTGTTCAGCCTGACCTGACAGGTCAATGGTGCAAGGCTTTGCTAGAACAGCCAAACAAAAGTTTTGAACAATGTGCCAGGAGGCATTCAATTTTCAAATTTCTACTCCAGCACACCAGGTGTGGACCAGCAAACAGTATATCAGCCTCTTGATGCCACAGACAGACAAACACATTATGAAAGCAGCACAGCCATGACGCTGATACCTGACACTGATAAAAATGTAATGAAGATGACAGAACAAATTTCTAAGTCATCTATCTATAGCTCAGAGCATTTGTTTTACATGCATTTATAACCTGAGTCTCCATGCAAAACATGGTCATAAACCAACCAGCATATGTGGGTACAGAAGGCAATTTTTGCTAGAATGTCATATAGTGATAGATGCCTTTTAACACCAGACCTGTGCAGATTTGGCAAAAGTAGAGATCTGACTTATCATTATCAGGATAATACAAGACCAAAGCAAACAAGTCAAATGCAGTGTTTCAGTATTTGGCCACTTGGGTGGCTGGGATGACAATATTTGATCATGCTATTACACCCCAGGCTTGGGGTTCCTTGTCTGTTGTCCTCCCCTCCTCAAAATCAGCCAACTGGCACCAAGCTGGGCATCAGCCATCCCAGCATCCAAGCACCTCATGTTTAACATCTGGGCCAGGCAGGTCACATGCTTGGGTTAGTGGCCAAATAATAAAATATTAGCACCAAGGAACTGTGTATGTGAGGCTGCCAGAGAGCCAGGATTTTTGGTAGCATGTATTTGATTATATCCTCATCACCCTACTGGACAAATTTTGAAGCAATATCCAGATGGCATCCATTGTGAAAGGCCTAGACATCTGACCTGAAAATGGAATGAACATGCATTGGCTTAGATTTGCCATGATTATGATTAACTAACCATACAAGATTGAGAAAATATTAGTGAAAATTGGTCAGAACTGATTTTAGTGTGTCACTCTTGGCCCTACTTACATCATCTTAATGGCCCTGCTTGTTTGTCTTCAAGCCCAAACTGACCTCATCTGACTCTTATTCAGGAGAGCAAAAGTAGCTAATTTCTGGTCAGTCTGCAGCAAATTCATCTCAGCAACAGAAGGTTACGATCTTGGAGTGCCAAATTCTGAACACACTGAACTGTATCAATAATTCAAACAATCTTCTATTACATGTTTCAATGACATTTTTGCTTTACATTGGCATGACATAATCACGATCTTTTTTCGAACAGTGGTTCTCTTCAGTGAAATTTGTGGTGACCCTGCATGTAAATCCGGACTCTTGGATTCGCAGCATGCATTTACTGTAGTGAAGATGTTGCCAGAACGGTCACTGCTAGTCCCGCATGTTTGGCGTGAGGATCCACCATTCACCTGAACACTGCAAAAAACTAGGTGGCCTCTCTAGATGGCCTAAACGCTCACCTTAGACGACATATTCGGGAAGTAAAGGTTAGGTCAAGCGTTTTCACTTAATACCGAGGCCCCCGCTACACAGCCCCGCAGCCAGCCCAGCCCTCCCACGACGCCCCGGTCTCAATCGACCCCGAAACCAGCCCCTCGCCGACCGGTTCCAACTTCGATATATGGCAGCCCGCTACCGTCTTCGCAGGCAAGAATGTTTAGTTCACTACTAGCAAGTCACCAGAAATAAATTGAACATGACCAAAAGAGACATAACAAACCAGATAAATCACAGCCAAAATGAGACTTCCACTACCGATTGGACTATGGCCACAAACATGCGCGCTTTTTACCACCGGTATTAAAGGTCGTTAACCGTTTTGTTCACATATTACACCAAATATACAAAGAAAGTGTCAGAAAAAATATCCTCTACCAGATTAGCTTCGGTTCTACCAGATGCGTGAAGCAAATGACTTAAATATGGTCGGGAGTCAAGCAGGGGCGGATCCAGAGGGGGAGGGGGCACGGGCTATGTCCCCCTTGGGCCCGAAGGGGCCATGGGCTCCAGGAGGGGCCCATAGCCGGCCAAATAGGTGCAGTTACAAACACAAAATGCAACAAAACTGGATGTCTCTGGACTTTCAGGCGACCAAGAACAGTTGTAAGCGAAAGTGAAAGATCTATGAGAAGCAAAACAAGGAGTTATTAAATGATGGAAAAAATTGTGAACTGGAAATTTCAAGTTTCATTATACTGTCTAGGAGCCCCATGCTGTTTCTGGGGGACCTATATGCCCATTGGCGGGATCATTTCGATCGTTGAGGAGCATTCCACGTTGCCCTTTATTTCTTTGCATTTGCTCAGAAGGCCCTGCACTGTTGTTGGGGGCCCTTCCTGCCAGCGTGCTGGGGCACTCTTGTCAATCCACGGGCCCTTCCACGGATTCTTTCCATTTGCGAGGAAGGCTCTGTGGGACATAGCCAGGGTCCCATATATTAGCCTGCCGGGGTATTCTCGGTTGCTCAGGGGCCCTTTACGTGGGTCTCGGTTAGCCTACCGACACACTTGCGATATGCTCAGGGGCCCTCTACATTGGTCTAGGGCGCTTCCAATTATCTATCACTTGCTTAGGACCCCACACGCTTGTCGGGGGGGGGGGGGGCATCTGATGGCCTGCCTGGGCACACTCATTCGGGGATCCCTCACACTGGGTCTTGGGTACCTATTTTCTACATGACACCCTACGCTCTTGTGAGGGGCCTATCTGATAACCTACTCGGGCACATTTGATCGTTCGGGGGCCCTGTACATTGGGCCTTGGGAAGGTGCTATTTAAATGGGGCCCTACGCACTTGTCGGGCCCCCTCCGTTCGCCTTCTCGACCAAACTGGATTGCTCGGGGCTGCCCTGCACATCGGTTCTTGGTGTTTTAATTAAGGGTCCTTTGCTCCTATCGAGGTCATCTGATAACCTGTTAAAGGTACACCCGATCTTTCACGAGCCCTCCGCGCCGGGTTTTGGGTAATTCTTATTTCAGTGGAGGGCCTCACGGCCCTGCCGGGGCTCCTTCTGGTAAGATGCTCCGGCCATTCGATCGTGGGGACCTCTACATCCGGTTTTGGGCACTTACTTTTTGAATGGGGGGCCCTGCACTCTTTTCGGGGTTCCTATATGTTAACTTGCTCTGGCGTGTTCGATCATTCGGGCCCCTATTCATCGTGTCGTGGGTATTTCAAATTTGAACGGAAAGCCCCACGCTCTTGCCGGGGCCCCATCTGTTAACCTGTTCGGGCACACTTGAATATCCGGGGGCCCTCCACATTGTTTCTTGGGTCTTGCTACCTGAATGGAGGGCCCTGCGCACTTGTTGGGGATCCCATCTGTTCGCCGCTTCGGCCACACTGGATTGTTCTGGGGGCCGTATGAATTGGGTTTTGGCGTTTGAATTTAGGGCCTTACATTCCTGTCTGGGCCATTTGATAATCTGCTCGGGGATACTCCACCTTTCGGGCCCCTCCGCACTGGGTTTTGGCTACATTTTAACTAAATGGAGGGCCCTACGCTCTTGTCGGGGTAGCTGCTCGGACACATTTCATTATTCTGGGGCAGTTCACATAGGGTGTTCGGCGCTTTCCATTCGAATGGAGTGCCTTACGCTCTTGTTGGGACCCTGATTTGTTAACTCGCTCGGGCACACTCGATCATTCGGAGGCCCTCTACATTGGGTCTTGGGTACTTTCCATTTGAATGGCGGGCCCTTCGCTTTTGACGGGGCCCTTTATGTTAACCTGCTCTGACGCACTGGATCATTCGGGGGTCCTCTACATTGGGTCTTAATACTTTCCATTTGAATGGAGGGCCCTACGCTCTTTTTGGGAATCTTATCTGTTAACCTGTTCGGGCGCACTCCATCATTCGTGGCTCTCTACATTGGGTCTTGGGTACCTCCTATTTGAATGGAGGGCCCTACGCTCTTGACGGGCGCCCTATATGCTAACCTGTTCGGGCACACTCCATCATTCGTGGCCCTCTACATTGGGTCTTGGGTACCTCCTATTTGAATGGAGGGCCCAACGCTCTTGACGGGCGCCCTATATGTTAACCTGTTCGGACGCATTCGACCTTTCAGAGCCCAACACATTGTGTCGGAAGTATTTCTTATCTGAATGGATGGCCCTGTGTTCTAAGCGGGCCCCATCTGTTAAGCTGCTCGGGCCGGTGGCGCATGCAGAGGGGGGGGGGGGGAGGCACAGGACCATGCCCCATGGACCATGCCGAAGAGACCTAAAGGCTCCCGAATGGGCCTATAACCGGCCGGCCGGACGCAGTTTCTTACATAAAAAACACAACAAAATTGGATGCCTCTGGGCGTACAGACGACCAACAACAATTGTTAGCAACAGAAAAAAGTTAATAAGCAGACGAAGTTCATTCTTCGCTGATTGAGAAAGTGTTGCTGGAGAAAATTTGGGGGCTCGTTACGCTGTCTGGAGGCATTGCGCTGTTGGTTGTCTGGTCCTATATGCCCAATTGTCGGGTCAATCTGATCGCCATGGAGCTTTCTACGTTTCCCTTCCTCTCTTTGCATTTTCTCGTAAGGCCCAATGCGCTGCTGGGACGCAGCCTGCCTCCATGCCTGAGCACTGTTGATCGATCAGGTTTTTCTCAACGGACTCTTCCCACTCGCTCGAAAAGTTCTGTGCGCCTTTTCATGGGCCCATTATGCCAGGATACACTCAGTTGCCCAGGGGCACTTCATAAAAGTCCCGGGTTCTTTCCACTTGCTTGGAGGGTCTTATGCTGTTACTAGGGCTCTGAAAAGATAAAACACGGACAACCGATGCTCAGGGGCTCTCTAACTTCATCGAGGGCTCTCTCGCTTTGGTCTCATTCGCGGAGGACTCTTCACTCCTATTGAGGCTCGTGTTGTTAACCTGCCCGTGCACTCTTGATTGCACATGAGTTTTAACTGATGGTCTTGGATAATTTCCCTTTGTTCGGAGGGCCCTGCACTCTGGCTGGTGCCTTATATATCAGCCTGCAGGGGCACTGCCGGTCGTTAAGGGGCCCACCATGTTGGTCTTGGATTCTTTTTGCTTGTCCGGAAGACCCTATACTTGATGACGGGAGCCACTTTGTTAGCCTCCTGCGGCACCCATGATCGCTCAGGTGCCGTCTCTATTGGCCTTGGTGCCTTTGCCTTGAAGCGGCAGTCGTACATACGCCGATGAATTTTTACGCCCACTTGCCGGACGTAATTTTGCATGCCGCCGACGTTCTGTGCGTCATTTCCATAGGCTATTGAGTTTATGTCTCTTATTATACTAGTGCATCACGTTCTTAACATATTTTGAACGCTAGGATATGTTATGCTCCTTTATAGGAAAGGAAACATTTTGCGTTAGTTATCAGCCATCAGCTGATTACATCGCTCAGCCGGCTAGCCGTAAATACAAATACTGGGAGTCGAGTCCATGCCTAGTTTTGATGACTGTTAGCAGCCAACTTAAGTTTAGTTTGCCTGTTGTTCCGAAACACTTAGCCTCAAGATCACAGCATTTAACATGATCTGCAGAAAATGAGTGAGTTATAGGCGATTGCATGCGTAGCACGCCCAGCTTTATAGGGCTGTGCACAGTAAGATGGGTTTCCGTATTCATTCATTAAGCGAATAAATAAAAATATCAATATATCAATATATATATATATATATATATATATATATATATATATATATATATAATGTATATGTTACACAAGACTTGCCTTCAAATGTCATGAACGAAATGCAAGTTTTTTAGGGGGCCCCAAGCTCCAGGGGCCCCACAAGGTTGCATGCCCCCACCCTTGACGAAATCCTGGATCCGCCCTGAAATGAAGAACTTGTACTAGAATCTAGGATACCCGCCAGCAAAAACGGCCATATTTTCAGACAAGCTGGCTTCAGCTTGTGAATATTTCTGAACGCAGTCCTCCTTATTTACTTTGAAGTAGCGTTCTGAGAGCGAGTTGCTGAATGGCTTTGAGTTTCGCACACACACACACATCCAGGGGCGCAGCCAGATTGGGGGGGGGGGCACGGGAACATGTCTCCCGTTAGGTCCCGATTGGCCCTCGGAACCCCCGGCACAGACTATCAAGGGTTCGAAAGGCTGGTCGAAGACGACCTCGGGGCAAAGTCCTGGCTCTTAAAGATCAGCCAAAGGGGCTGTCGGGATCCCCGAGACGACAAAGGAGTCCATGTGGCTCCGAGACCACCATTGCTGAGCAATTGGCTCTGAGTCGGCTTGGACCTGGGGGACCAGTTACGAAGCACGGACAAGGCTGGTGTTTGTGACGCCTGCTCCTGAGGGCCGCCTGTATTGCCCAGGCACTAAAACAAGGTGGCTCGCTGAATCAAGGCGCGGGTGCTTAGCATGGGTGCCTGTGTCGGCAAAGGGCTCTTAGTTGGCTAGAGACACAGTTACCTGAGAAGGAACAGAACTGGACAATGAACGTCAGAGAGCCACTTGCGTTGGTAGAACTCCTCTTGCCTGACACGGGATGGAAATGTGAGGAATGACAAGGAAATTGTCCATAATGAGACAATAGAAGGGTCTGACCAGTCACGGGGTCTAGTGCCGAACAGGAGCTTTTTAGAGCCCCTGAGCCCG